TGGGCAAATCTGCTGCAAAAGACCTCTTTCAAGTGCTGAAAAGCAAAGATGTGTCTTTGAAAACTAAGTTGTGCCTAACCCAAGCCATGGTATTTTGAATTGCCTTTTATGCATGTGAGAGCTGGTCAATGAATAAGGAAGACGGAAGAAGAGTTGATGCTTTTGAGTTGTAGTGTTGGCAAAGACTACTGAAAGTACCATGGACTGCTAAAAGAACTAACGAATCTGTCCTGCAAGAAGTGCATCCAGAATGCTCCTTGGAAGTGAGAATGGCCAGACTTCATGTCACCTACTTTGGTCATATTGTTAGAAGGGACCATTCCCTAGAGAAGGATATTATGCTTGGTAAAGTGGAGGGTCAACAAAAAAGAGGAAGGCCCTCAACAAGATTGATTGACACAGTGGCTACAACAATGGGCTCAGGTATAGCAAGTACTGTGAGGCTGGCACAGGACCGGGTAGTGTTCTGTTCTATTGTACATAGGGTCACTATAAGTTGGAGCCAACTTGACAGCACCTAACAACACAACAAATCTCTCTGCTCAACCGTCCATATTTATTCCCTTTTTCTGAGCATCCAGGAAGGACTTGACTCACCAACTCTGGAAGATTGCTGGCACCAGCAGAGACCTCAGTGGATGTCTGCTCTTATCTAGACTTTTTCATAGAGATGAGAAAATTATTCCTACATTGGAAATTGAAAACAATTCTCATCTATGATGGTTAAGGTTGTGTATCAACTTGGTTGTGCCATAATCCTCTGGTTTGGCAGTCATGACATTGTCATCCTCCTTGATGAGATCTGCTATGAGCAGCCAATCAGTTGAGAGGCAGTCTCCCCAAGAATGTGGCCTGGATTGAATATATATGAATATTCTGGCAAAACTCTAGCTTTTTGCTTGCTCTGGATCCTGCATCCAGCTCTCATTATCTGGCCTCTGGCACTTGGAACTTAATCCAGCAGCTTACCTGTCTTATCTGCCAATCTTGGATTCAGCTACATGAATCAGGAGAAGCCTCCAGCCTGATGTAGATGGATAGATAGATAGATAGATAGATGATAGAAAAATAGATAGATATAGATAGATAGGTAGGTAGATAGATAATCTCTCTATATATACATATACAAGCTTCACTGGTTTTGCTTCTCTAGAGAAGCAAAGCCTAAGACATCACTCAAGGCCCATCAATTGGTTAATGACAGATCTTAGACTGAAAGTCAACTTTCTAGACTTGAAGGCCAGGGCTTTTCCTACCACATCCCGCTTTTGGCCAGACTGACCAAAGCAAGTTGTTTTTGTGGAACCTGCATATATCTTGGCTTGAAGTCTTTTGCTGAGGATGTTTAGATATCATGGATGACTGAAGTCCTCACCAAGTCCAGGAACCCAAATTTATTGTGATTCACCAGAGGCTACTAGAGAATTGCTGTATTGAAGAGTCTTAGGAGCAGGTAACTGACTGAAAGGGGCAAGGGACCACAGGACTGGTCATAGAGTTTCATTTGTACAGTAAGAATCAGTTCTTTTAGCAGTCCATGGTACTTTCAGTAGTCTTTGCCAACACCACAACTCAAAAGCATCAACTCTTCTTCAGTCTTCCTTATTCACTGACCAGCTCTCACATGCGTAAGAGGTGATTGAAAATACCATGGCTTGGGTTAGGCATACCTTAGTTTTCAAGAAGCAGTCATCCACTGCTCTGATCTGTTTTCACACAGATCATATTTTTATTTTTTTATTTTGGGAGGCTTGGGGACCGGTGGAGATTTTGGCAGGTGCTAAAGTCCCCTCAAGCCCCTTCTGGCAACATCAATGCAACTGACATGCAAAATCACTCTTGGCACTCTGGGAAGAGACAGAAGATCGTTCAGTAAATTTATTCTAAGTGTCAAAAAATTTCTAAGATCCTCACATGATAATACTCACACTTAATCATTTGTTGAGTCAATAGGATGTAGCAGTTAAGACTTAGACTTTAGAGTGCAACAAAACTGGGTTTAAATCTCGGCCATGCCCCTTATACTACCGAGCCTACTGTACAAGCTCCATGCATGTCAGCTACAATTATTATTGATGGAGAAAATATAAAATGACACAAAGTCACTGTGGATTCAGCCAATTCATTAATTTGTATTTTAAAAATTGCAGCAGTACCTACAAACACTTGAAAGGTAATGGTAAATATCTGTGAATGGTGTTATTTATTCAGGTCACAGATAATACTTTGTGCACAAATTGATTTGAATCTATTATAATAATTGTTCTCTAGGGTCATTAGTCTATAGAGCTGGCACCTCTGATACAATAGAAGAGCATGGATTTTAGAATCTTCCAGACCTCAGTTCAAATTCTGGTTCCACCATGTGCCATCTTTGACAAGTTACTTAACTTCTCTGAGCCTCCGTTTCCTCAACTCTAAAATGAGGAATAATACTTACCTTGTGGGCTTTTTGGAGGATTGAATGAGATGATGTACATAGGAACCTGATCATTGTGGATGTTAAATAAACATAATTTTTTGTCTCACAATTTGAGCAAAGTAGTTACTTAGTTTGAAAACCAATTATTTAAGTTGCCCACGGCTTGGACATTAAAACCCTCACACATAGAAGGACTCGAAACCCCACTGTTAGAAAACAGGGAGAGAAATAAAGTTTTATTTCCATTCAACATTACTTCCAATACTTGATTTGTCCAGTAGAACCAGGGACAGCTTCAGCCTCCATATTTTTTACCTAACTTTTCATTCTTCCTCCACTTCCTCTTCTCCTTCTCCCTTTCTTGACCTTTCTAATTGCACTTAGGCTAGAAGCCTCACATAAGTATACCCACTCGCCCCTGGGGTTGGCCATGAGCACAATGTCAATGTGATGTTGCCACCATCACTGGCAATAGCCTATGTGTTTCTAAGAGCTACCTCAGAGTGGTTCGACCCATGCAAGAGCCCTTGTTAAACAGTGGCCTAGACTGTTGATGCTCATGGAGGAACAGGTACTCCTTTCATCATTTTCCTGATAGTCCAGGTAGATATCATTTACTGCCTCAGAATATCCCCATCCTTCTTTGCCAGAATGGAAGGCTGCAGGCCACTTAAAGGACAGTCTGTTCCTACCAGCAGGAAAGCAGGCAGAACAGAAGTGAATGCAAGAGATAATGCATTGAGCAGCTTCATGAGGGAATGTTCTTCTAGGAGTTGTGATTTATTCATTGCCAAGGAACCTGCAAAATTGTTTGACTCAGTGTTGTTGTCTTTCCCATCTCCTGCTCAGACTTCCTCATACCTCTCTTCACTTGGTGGATATATGGAAGGATTGCTTGCAGTCTTGGGAACTTCTCACATTTCTGGAAGGACCCATGCCAAATCTCCTCCTCTCTAGGAAATGGGCTTTGCCCATTTCAGGAACATCCTTTTATTCTCTGTTTCTGGGGTTGCACAATGTGTTTCATCTCTTCCTTTGGACATAAGCATGAAGAAAGTACTCCATCTTTCAAGAAATTTTCATACCCAGCCAAGTCCTTATTTATCATCTCCTCATAAAGTTCAGGAAGCCAGCACCTACATTGCTACTACCTGGTTTTGTACTGATCTCCAAGAGCAGGCAGGAGATCTTGAACCTTTTTGTCAGAAGTGGAATTGGAGCAAGGAGCCAAGTTTACCTATCAAGATCACGTAACATGGTGTTATGAGATCATGTGACACATTGGTATGGAGATCATGCGATATTGGAATGGGGAACAAAGAGTAAGAGGCTCAACATTTCAGGCAAACAACTAATCCAGGAATTAGAGCTGCTAGTGCTTCCTGTTTATTCATTTAATTTATTTAGGATAATTATCATTTCTTGTTCTCATATTTAGAAGCTGTGTGCCTAGCACAATTTTAGAAATCCAGAAACAACCCATGAAATACATGCCTCCAGTATAACCTGGGGGTTCATTAGATTAATTAATTAATAGTGGTTAATAAATACTTTGAAATTCTCTTATTAAAGGGATCACCTAAGTTCAAACTACTATTATAATCAGTCCTAATTAGGTCAATGGTTTAAAGAGAGGGTTTAAAACCATATATAAAGCTCCTCCAATGATCGGGTGGTACAGGACAAAGGTAAGAAGAGGCAGGTGAGTCTACAGGCTGGTGTTTAAAAGCTTCCTCCATGGGGAAGAGCCATATGGAGTGGGCTCTGATTGAAGCCAGGTACACAGAGATCTACTGACTAATAGATTCTCAAATTGTTAAAATTATGTTGTAGGACAAAGGGCACTTTTGTAAAAGCCTTTGTGCAAGTTGCTGCTGAGTACGGAAGACTTTCTCAAAACACAGAGGGGAAATTTTCTCCCTGTCAGGCCACAAACCAGGTTAGTGCCAGCCTTCTTGTATCTTGTAAAATATATAAGCCATCTTTTGAATGAAAGGAGCTCTGCTGGTACAGTGGTTAAAGCACTCAGCTGCTTTAACTGAAAGGTCAGCAGTTTGACCCCATTGTCAGAATTGACTCGATGGCAATGGATTTGGTCTGTTTTTCTTTTGAATGAAACCGAGAAAATAGTCAATTGAGGAAGAAACAGAGTATCGTAGATCTCTTCTAAGTCATGCTACTCTAGTGATGCCCAGATTTTCTCATGATTTTTTAAGGACACATTGTAGTGCAAGTGCCAGACTTTGTAGTGCAAGACTGGGGACACAATCATAGTATGACCATGCCTGGAAATGGGATGAGTGCGTATGTGTGGTAACGTATGTAATATATGCATGGGCTCCTATCAATATGAAACTAGATTTAAAAGAATTGGAGGTTTATGCTTAGGGAGGAGACCAGATCCAACAGACCATAAGTCTGTGAGAATACTATTTCCAAACTGGAAAGTGGGGATCGAATTGGAAGTGACTCTAAGCTTTTCATTAAAGAAACTTTCCTTTAAGAAACTTTCAAGCTTTAAAATTAACCAGTTTCTATTTCAAATCATAACAGGTTCTGTAGGATAAGACTTGCAGCCATGCTATCCTCCATAGTGTTTTGGGGACTCATTGCCCTCATTGGTAAGTTATCGATTGACATTTAACATTTTTAGCAAAGTGTCCAAGACAACACTTAGCACAGTCAGGAATCAGAAAGAGCAATGATGGCACGTAATAGAAGAGTGGGCTGTCCTTCTGCCAGCCAGAGCGTATTCTGCTTGCCAAGCAGATGAAGGTAATATCAATGGGAATGTAAAATAATCAAATACTAATTGATCTGCTTACTTCCTGTCCAATAAGCTGTTTATCTTATCAAGAGGTATATGGAATGATGCCTTGAGAGGCAATGCATATGAAGAGAAAACTATGAGGTAGTACCTAAGAGTTAAAAGAGGGATAGAAAAAATTATAGTCTGAGAGGATTTTAGGAGGAGGAGCTCACATCCAGCTAGGATGTTCAGCCTGAAAAGCTTTCTTGGGGTAATGTGACTATTATTGATGGGTCCTTGCTCTGGTGGAGTAGTGCCTAAGGCATTTGACTACTAACCAGAAGGCTGGCGGTTTAAACCCACCGGCCACTCCTCAGAAGGAAGATTGGGCAATCTACTTCCATAGTGATACTGCCTCAGAAACCCAAGGAGGGGTCACTGTGAGTAAGATCTAACTCAATGGCAGTGAGTTTGGTTTTTGGTTTTTGATATTTTAATAGGACAGAAGAGCCTTCTGGATGGAGGAGTGACTTTAGTAAAGGCATAGAGGCAGAAATGCATGAAAAGCATTTGGGATACCAAAGCAGATCAGTGTGATGGGAAGAGAAGAGGGGATTTGTGAGAGGAAGGCTGGAGAGGTAGGTTGGGGAGATGGTAGAAGGCCTGAATAAGGAAAGAATGGAAACTTCAACCTAGAAAACTGAAGAGTCATTGGAAATAATGTCCGAGTTGTCTGCTTACTAATAGAGTAATGATTGAGGAAATAGTTTTCTAAAATGTTCAATTCTAAATTTGGAAAATTGAGGCTACCCAAAAGTGGTAATTTCTGTTTACTTATGGCCAAAGGCAGGGGACTATAGTTTAAAATTTTTATTCCTCTTTAATTGTCAGGTGGGAGCAAAGTTATATAGCCAGTAGACAAATCATGACCTACCATACTAGTTGTATTTAACTGAAAGGGGACTATAATTTAAAAAGGTCTGTTCATTTATGATAACAACACAAGTAGTATGGGGACCTTGGTCATATCCCAGTACCCTTAAGGCAATGGCTCTCAAATCAGCTAGAGATGCTGGCTAAAGCACATGGTCTTGGACCTTGTACTTAAACATCCTGGTTGAGTAGATCTGCTACGAGGAGCAGAGCACTATGCATTGTTAGTAGCATCCCAGATCACTTTGATGCCAGTGCTCTGTGGGTCTTATTTTGAGTGTAACAAAGGCTGCCCCCCTGCCAATAAAAGAATATTGAACCTCTTGATATATGTACACTTAAACTATCCAGAAATTTTAGATAACTCCTTTCCCTCTCATCTATCCATCCATTTATCCATTCATCCACTCATTTATCCATTCATCCATTCAACAAATACTTATTGAACACCCACTTTGTGCCAAGGAGCTTTGGTGGTATAGTGGTTAAAGCATTTGGCTGCTAACCAAAAGGTCAGAGGTTCCAAAGCACCAGCAGCTTTGTGAGAGAAAGAGGAGGCATCTGCTTCTGTAAAGATGCACTCACTGCCTTGGAAACCCTATGGGACAGTTCTACTTTGTCCTATAGGGTCGCTATGACTTGCAATCAACTCGAAGGCAGTGGATTTGGTTTTTGAGTACTTTGTACCAGACATTGTTCAAGGTGCTGAAGAAGATAGGCAGAGAAAAACATTAAGTCTCTGCCTTCCTACCTATGAAGTTTATGCAGTTTATATTCCAGTGAGATAAACAGGCCAAGAAAAAAAAAAGGGAGAGAGAAATGTCAGATGGTAGTAGTGATATAAATAAAATAATATGAGGTAATGGGAAACAAGGAGTAAGTTGCGAATGTGTTGTCTTTTTAACATATATGGACAAGAAAGTCTCTACAATAAGATGACTTAAAAAACTTTTTATTATAGAAAGCTTTGAGCACATAAAATGGAGAAATAATAGTACAATAAACTGAGTACCTATCACACAGCTTTTGCAGTTTTCAACATTTGCCAATCTTATTTAACCTATCTCTTACTTGCCTTTTTTTCCCCCAGTATTTTAAAGCAAATGTCAAAACATTTCACCTGTAAATTTGTTGTATGCGTCTTTAACATCTAAAGCCTAGTTCTGTTACAAGAAGCTGTTACTGATTCATCTTGAACATCTCCTGTCATTTTCCTGAGAAGCACTGGTTACTTTTAGTGGGAAATGGCATGCAGAGACCACAGTCTGGCTGATAAGTGTTCTCATTCCTGCTGGGCCTTTTTAGTGGACAGAACTAGAAAACACATATTTTAAAAAAAGAAAAATAATAATGCATTCACTGATATTTCATATTCATATTTAAGAATACAAGGGTTTTACAGTGTTTTTATATTTCTATCTCTGCTATCTTACACTAAAAATCTGGGTTCCAATTGACACAATGTCTGTAACAATGGGCTCAAACGTAACGAGCATTGCGAGGATGGTACAGGACCGGGCAGTATTTTGTTCTATTGACCTAGGGTCGTTATGAGTCGGAGCCAACTTGATGGCACCTAACAACAATAAAGATATTAATGTTACTACATATATATATGTTGTTGTTGTTGTTATGTGCCATCGAGTCGGCCCCGACTCATAGCGACCCCTCCTTGGGTTTCCGAGGCAGTATCACTACGGAAGTAGGATTGCCCAACCTTCCTTCCGGGGAGTGGCTGGTGGGTTTGAACCGCCAGCCTTCTGGTTAGCAGTCAAGTGCTTTAGCCATTATGCTACCAGAGCTCCATATATATATATATATGCATATATAAAAAATAGTTTTAAAATAACTATGACAGTATTACCAACCAAAAATTGAGATTTTCCTGATTCCTTATGTCCATAGGATATATTTCAGTCAGTGTATACAATTTACATTGACATATTTTAAAATCGCTTTTAAAATTAGTTAGGTTCATTTGTTTGTTTCTCATTTTTTAGGATTTGTTTTTATTCTTGTTTGATCTAATGTTTAAAAACCATGTAAACAATTACAAGCGTCCAGAAGTTAAAACTACAAAGCAAGTTACACTTAGAGAAGGCTAGCCTCTATCCCTATCCCCTTTACCCTCTTCTTATCTTCCTCAACTAACTTTTTTTTGGTTAGTTTTTGGTTTATCCTTGTGTTGTTTCCTTTGGAAATAGAATCACACAGACACACTCACAAATTCATAATCATACATTCTCCCCTCTCTTACACAAAAGTAGAAGTCTGTCCATACTGTTCTGGGCCTGGAGATCATTTCATAGGACTATATAGAGATACTTCTCTTTCCTTTCTGCAGCTACATAGTTATGTAGATGTAGCTTTACCTATTCAACCATTCCCACATTATTGACATTTATGTTGTTTCCAGGCCTTTGCTGTTAAAAACAGTGCTGAAACAAATAGCTGCAATTCCCCTCCATAGCAATGTATAAGAGTGCTTGTTTCCTCAGTCTCACCCGTAGAGTTTGTTCAAATTTTTGAATTTTTGTTAACTGAGTAGGTAAAAATAGTATCTCAGTGTTGTTTTAACAGGGGCTTCTCTCTTTTTAAGAGTGATTGAGTATATTTTTATATCTTTTTGTCTATGAACCATCTATTCTTATCTTTTGCTGATAAAGGGATATTCTAACAGAGTCCTGAAAGTAGTAAGGCAGCAAGCCATGTAAACAGACATCTGGGAAAATAGCATTCTAGGCAAAAGAAACTTCAAATTCAAAGACCTTGAAGCAGAAGCCTGCTTGGCGTGTTCAAGGACTGACAAGGAGAAGAACGTGGCTGGAGAAGAGTGAGGGAAGGAAAATTGAAATTGGAGAAGAAGCTGAGGACCAGATCAGGGAGGACCTTGGAGGCCAGGATATGGGCTTGGTTTTCCTCTGAATGAAGGGGAACCTGCTAGAAGATTAAGAGAGAAAACTGATCTGATCCATTCACATTTCCATAGGATCATTCCACTGCTGGGTGAAGAATAGAATGGAAGTAGGGAGAGCAGTGGGAGCTCTGGTAGCGTAGTGCCTAAGGCAATTGACTGCTTATCAGAAGCCTGGTGGTTCAAACCCACCAGCCACTCCTCGGAAGAAAGATGGGGCAATCTACTTCCATAGTGATAGTGCCTTGGAAACCCAAGGAGGGGTCGTTATGAGTCGAGTCCAACTCGACGGCACATAACAACAACAACAGGGAGAGCAGTTAGGAGCCTGTTACAATAATCTAGATGACTATGTATTATTGAGCATGCTACAATAATCCAATTATCATAAAATAATCCATGATTCTGTTTTGGACCATGGTAGTAGCAAAGGTGCTAACTGGTCAGATTCTGGATATGTATTTTGAATTTTCACATTACTTCCAACCTCTATGTCTCAATCTTAGGAATCCATCCATTCACAAGCTCTTATTTTCCTAAATGGATTGTAGGCGCAAGATACAACACTGAGGACCCATGGGGAGTGCTGAGGTGGTAGTTTCTGCTCTCTATATGACATGAAAATCCATTTTTATTAGAGAAGCCTAATGATATCTGTTGCTTTTACTATGTACATACACTTTCTTAGGGTTCCAAGTTTATATGACAGTTTGTGATACCCCCCCTTTGTTGGTCTATTCACAATTCCTTTTTTGGCTGTTTGTGTATTTATTTTTTGTTTTTATTGAGTTTTGCTTTAAAATAATCACATCTTTTAAAAAAGTTAACCTTTTGAGTTACTTTGCTTTTCCTATAAAATAAATATTTATAAGGAAGCATTCCTTTGGTTATGTGCCTAATTCTAAGAGTATACAGTTGTTTCATACTGTTAAGTTACTCAGAACTAGATCAATGATGTGGACAGCCACATGGGTAGGTAAAATCCATCTCCTCATTAAAAAATATAGTTTAAAACACAAAATGAAACAACTTAGTTTTTTACAACAAACGTTTCCACAAATTTAGTGCTTTATAACCAGTATTGGTAGGCTTAAGGTACAAGTCAACAATCATTGGAACTATTAGTACAAACTTTTCAAAATGACAGAAAATTTTGAAATAGTCTAGTCAATAGACTAGGATAGAAACTCATTTCATAATGACAAAATAAAAAATAACAATAGATTTCACTTAAATTTTTACAATAGCTAATATTTTTCTAATATTAATAGACTTAGTGAATCAACTTCACAGTGACATATGAAATACAGTGAACTTAAATCTTTCTAAACAAAAGCAAATTGTCAAACTAGGTGTTCTGTTTACATCACCAGAAACATTTATGTCATAAGTGTCTTAAAATTTCTCTCATGTTTCCTGCTTAAAACTTACAGCAATTTTTACTGTGCTCTAGATCACAACTAATATATTTGGAATTTATAATAATTGATTTTTATAATAATACTTTGCACAGTGTTTTAGAATTAAATACTGTTTTTGTTGTTTGTTTGTTTTGCTATGCTTTTAAGGTGGAAGTAGATAATCTTTTGTCTGATGAGCCAAGATTGGTAAAAAGGGACTTGGGAGGACCCAGCCTGTGGCTTTCGTTTTGGGTTTGGCAATGTTTATGATAGCAACTTAAGTAATAGTTTCTCACTGGCTTCATGTGAATTACCATCTGCCTCCAGGTCCTTCCAAGGGCTCGTACCCTTTTACTCACATGATGAACCCTCACCTGCATCCTCGTGTGTACCATGGGTGCTATGGGGACATCACGACTATGGAGACCTCTGGGGCATCCTGTGATATAAGCCAGCTGATTAGCTGTGGTAAGTGAAAATTAAAACAAGGTTTTGACTTCCCCCCTTTCATAATTTTCAAATTCTCTCTTAGGAAGTAGTTTATTTTTTAAGGTATAATTATTATTATGAAAATATTAAAATTAAACATTAGAAAAATAGCAGAATCCTGACCAACATAAGAAACCACGTCTTTTAATTTTGCCCATTCTTTTCAATCCTTGTCCATATCTATTTATTTCTATGTATTGAAATTATTGATTAAATAAAATGCTATATCCTGGCTTTGTTTTTTTGTGTTGTTGTTTTTACTTAATGTTTCAGCATGAGCATTTTAAGGAAGCTTAGAACTTACTCTTCGTATTTTTCCTCTTTTGTTATTCTGTTCCAAAGTCTTATTTATGATGTTGTCACTATGATAATGTCAGAGCTGGAAGCAATCACAAGCGTCACACCTGATCTCATCCCCTCAATTTACAGATCAGAACAATGAGGCTCAGGAAGGTAGAGAGAGTCCCCAAAGACACAGGGCTACATAATGGCAGACCAGACTAAACCTTATGTTGATTGACATCTAGGCCAAGATTTTTCCCAACACACCACTGTGGCAGAAAAGAGAAGAAGAAGAGAGAAGCGATGCCCATCTAGGATTGTGGTCCTGTCTGAGTTTTTGTAGTGAGAGATCAAAAAAGAATGTCTCAAAACAGTTTTCCAAACCCATGGGCAGTGGTCATGAACTGTGACTAATTTATATTAGATTATCTTCTGGAGGAGAGGAAACACAGTTTGATTTTGTGTTTATTGACTTCAGGGATCCGTGGTTCTGAAATGTTTGCTGAGATGGATTTGAAGGCCATAAAGACTTACCAAGTTATGATCAAAGAAGTTGGACAGAGGCACTGTGTGGACCCAGCCCTCATTGCAGCCATCATCTCCAGAGAAAGCCATGGTGGAGCTGCCCTGCAAGATGGCTGGAACCACAATGGACTTAAATTTGGCTTGATGCAGGTACTTTGCTAGAGACTTTAAAACAACACTACTCCATCCTTCTTTATAGAAATTGAACCCAAATTTGAAAGCCATCTGCTTCCAGGCCCCAAAACACGATGGACTCTGGCTATAGATGCTTCAGCATCATTTGTTCTGGGATTTCTGTAACACATCTTTGGTGTTTTAAACCTTGAGGTTTATCAGCTATTAGATATCTTCAAAAAAGTCTTTTATGAGTTTCATGTCTATAATTCTGAAACAAATAATATACAATGTAGTTACACTGAGAAAATCTTATATAAGGTATTATTGCTACACGTGTCCTTATGGGGTTCATGAAGTAGCTAATGTTATCCATGTGGGTCAAAACACTGCATAATTAAGACCTATTTGAACCACCTTCTTTTTCACTAAAATGGAAGAAGGCTGTTCAAATTATCTGGATATTTGCTTCCAGGCTCTATTTTAAATTGTCTAGAAACCCAGATTTCTAGCCTTTCCAGTTAGAAATAAATTTTTACCTGAATTAGATGGATAATTATTTTTGACTGCAAATACTTGGACTTCTTTGTGTACTAATTGTTTGTTTTTAAACAGCCTTTTCATATATATACTGTTGTTATTGGTTCTGGTCAAGTCAATTCCAGCTCATAGCAATCCCGTGTGGCAGAGTAGAACTACCCTGTAGGGTTTTCTTGGAGTAATCTTTATGGAAATAGATCACCACATCTTTCTCCTGTAAAGCCACTGTGGAGGCTCGAATTGCTGACCTTTCAGTTAGCAGCTGTGTAATTACCCATTTGGTCATTAGGGCTCCATTTTTATGTCATATTCATATATATACATGTGAGAATGACATGTGTGTGTGTGTGTGTGTGTGTGTGTGTGTGTATATATATATATATATATATATATATATATATGAATGCTTAACTCAAACTGTGCCATGTTCACTTCTCCCAAATCCTGCTTTGTTTATCTGACTCTCTTCTCTGTGGAGGGAAGGACAATAGACTTGACTCTGATGATAAAGGAAAAATACAGAGGCCACTATCTGTGAAACTGAACAGAAGGAGAAGAAATATGTGAAAAAATCACATCAGAAAAACGTGTTGCTTCATCCTGATTCTGACATTACTATCTGAATTGTCTAGCTTGATAAGAAAATATATCACCCTGCTGGTGCCTGGGACAGCAAAGAACACCTTTTGCAGGCTGTTGGGATTCTAACAGACAAAATTAAGGCGATCCAGAAAAAATTCCCCATGTGGAGTGTGGCTCAGCACCTCAAAGGTAGGCCATATTTTTGGCGTTTTGTTTAAATGAGCAGTGAGTGAGACCCAGAAGGCCAGATGTGTCCCTATGAGTGCTCCCAGTGGGTGTGCAGTAGGTCTGGGAGGAGCTGTTGAAAGGCTGCATTAGTGTTCTCTGAACGACTGGGTTACTTTGAGTGGTCTTCCTTCTCTATTTCTGCTTCTACGAGATGCTGTAGTTCTTATTGCATCTTTCCTTGGTTATTGAGCCACTGAATGATGCCTTAAGTGTTAATGAGATAATTTAAAATAATATGTTCTACTTTCTTCTGATAGGCTTTTTGCTGATTCAAAAAATATAACCACTTTCTGAATTGTTTGAACAAATTTTTAAGCACTCTTAAAGCCATTAGAGCTTCAGGTGATGTATGTCAATGTGGAGATCTCTCCTTGGCTAACTACAGACCCCTTCAAGTGTAGCATCTCCCAAGTTGAATTAAATCACTAACATTCCTCTATGAATATTTTTCTGTACTTTCTGTGTCTGTGAAAGGTACCATAATATATCCAGTTATCCCAGCCAAAAAAACCAGATTGTTTTCTTAAGGTTTTCTGGCTCTTCTCTCTTCCCATCCAATCAACACCAATTTCTGTTAAGTCTACCTCCTATGGATTCATGATCTATATTACTTCTCTCCTGCTACCCTTTAAGGGGTATATAACAGTTTCCATTCTTATTTCAAGGTCCTTCAGGGCAGAGATTAGGACCAGGAATCTTTTTCTTAAGACATCAGAATGATTATGTGCTTAATGAACTACTATGCAAAGAACTTTATCCAATATTTTGGGTATCATTGTGCATTCCATACTCAGTGTGGCTCAAATCCTGGCACATGATAGGTGTTTAAAAACATGTATTGAGTGGATGAATGAGTGAGTGAACAAATGAATGAATTATTAAATGAATAGAGAAATGTTACAAACTTTCTCAGACTAAAGGTTTGTTGGGAATCTAGTTCTTCCTGGTCTGAACTATATGAGAAGCAATCTGACTTTTGTAGAGAGACTAGCAGTCTTAAAGAAGAAAGAAATCTGAAATTCTTCCACTGATTCTCAGGGTAGCATACCCTTTCAAGGGGTGGGGGAGGAGAAGGTGAACGGAAGATCTGGGACTACCTGCTTTGGAAGTTCTGCCTGGAGGGCTGACTTTTTGGAAATGCTCATATCCTATTTTTGCTGAACATTAATATTTGAATCTAAACCACTGTGTTTCATTTCAGGTGGTCTTTCAGCCTTTAAGTCAGGAATCGAAACCATTATCACCCCCATGGACACAGACACTGAGTTCGTCAATGATCTTCTTGGTCGAGCTAAATTCTATAAAAGGCATGGGTTCTAGGGAAATCTGTGTGGGTAGATCAGATTGGCAGGGCACTCAGCTAGCGCCTCATATCAGGAGAGTTTGACATGATTGTGTTCTACTCAACACTGGCAAAAGAATGGTTGCAATTGTGAGAGAAAATTTATTTCCCAATTTTCTTAATGGAAGTAAGCATTAAAACAAAGAAAGAAAGAAAGAAATCCACTCAGTTCCAAATACGGTTCCTATGAAATGTACACATATATATCTGTCATTGTTTTCTAGTAAATGTGAATGTCATTGTTTTGGTTACCTAGTGCAGCTCTCACAGGAATATACCACAAATGGGATGGCTTTCACAAACAGGAGTTTATTTTCTTAAAGTTTTGGAGGCTAGAAGTCCAAGTGCAAAGTGCCACGCTCTGGGGGCTGGGTGAAAGCCCCTCGACCTTGGGCTTCAGCTCTACCTCTTGCTCCCAGCCAACTGAAGCTGGAGGCTTTTCTTCATTCAGACAGCTGCTGGCTGTGGAGGCTGACAAACCCAAGGTCAAAAAGTGAAAAGGCACAGTTCCAATATTATTAAACCACACAGCAGGCCATGGATTCAAGTCCATTAAAAGTCCCAAGATTGGCAGAGTATGGCAGGCTGCTGAATGAAGACTCGGCTACATGCAGGGTCCAAGTGTCCCAAAAAGCTGTAGACCGTTCCCAAAGCTTCTCCTTATATGTGGGAAGCAGACATCCCTAAGGCAGCTACTCAACTGCTCACAGCAGATTCCACCATGGAGTTGATTGCCAGTTTCATCATGGGGAGTAACTACCACCAGCTGCCCAGCCACTCAAAGCTAGGCCTAGCCAAGTTGACACACAACCTTAACTACCACAGTCATTTTAAATAAGTGAAGTCTATATATTCCAGCTAGACCTCATTTTAGCATAGTGCCTAAGACACTTGACTGCTAACCAGAAGCTGGCGTTTCAAATCCACCAGCCACTCCTCGGAAGGAAGGTTGGACAATCTACTTCTGTAGTGATACTGCCTTGGAAACCCAAGGAGGGGTTGCTATGAGTCAGGGCTGACTCGACGGCACGTAACAACAACAACAGACCTCATTTTAGCACATGATTTCAATGCCAGCTTGCTCACTGTTTGGCAAGAACTGCAAAGAAGTGAGCCTGACCTGCACCTTTGTGCTTTTCCCAGTATCCTCCCACTTGGGTTTTGCTTATGAGAAGTGCCTTATCCATAAGCCAGTCAACCTATGGGTCAATGGAGAGGCTAGGGATGGAGAAGCTACATGGGTAACTGACAGCTGACAGTGGTGAAGCTGACCTTCCTTATATGATGTACACAACATCCCTCAAGCCTGCACCAACATCCCATGTCTTCTTGCTGAGGATCCAGGGGCTGGTTTCTTTTCTATTTTCAGTTGTTGCTGCCACATACTCTCTCCCTTTGGGGTCACCTCCCTGAAAACATGGCAGAAGATGAATAGATATGCCTGGCATTAGTTATATAGTTCTTTGGTTGCAAGCAAAAATAACCAACTCTGGAAGATTTAAGCAAGAAAAGGAAGTATTAGGAGGCTCTCAGAAGACTCATCGACCCAAGAGGAAAGGCAAGGATATGAACAGGAACCAGACAACTCTGGGTGTCAAAGAAGCAGGAAGTGTTTGACTATACTTTATAGAGCCCTCACTGAGAGAATAAATTATGATCCTAACTGCAAACATGAACTCCAAGAGTTTTTTTTCCCTCATCCTTTTATCCCTCTGTTTCAGAGTCTTAGTCTCCAACACTATAATACAAATGCATCAATTCTTCTTTGGTTTTCTTTATTTGTTGTCCAGCTCTTGCATGCATACACCAAAAAACAATCCCACTGCCATCAAGCCACTTCTGACTCATAGCAACCCTACAGGACAAAGTAAAACTGCCCCATTTACTTTCCAAGGCTGCAAATCTTTACAGAAGCAAACTGCTTCAGCTTCCTCCTGTGGAGCGGCTGGTGGGATTGAACCACTGAACTTTTGGTTAGCAGTCAAATACCTTAACCACTGTACCACCAGAGCTCCTTCACCTACATATATATAAAGTGATTAAAAATACTGTGGCTTGAGTTAGGTGCACCTTAGTCTTCAAAGTGATATCTTTGCTCTTAATCACTTTAAAGAGGTCTTTTGCAGCAGATTTGCCAAATGCAGTATGTTTCATTTCCTGACTGCTGCTTCCAGGGGCATTGATTGTGGATCCAAGTAAGATAAAATCCTTGAGAACAGTTGTGAGGACTTTTGTTTTCTTTATGTTGAGGTATAATCCATACTGAAGGTTTTGATCTCCCATCAGTAAGTGCTTCAAGCCCTTTTCACTTTCAGCAAGCAAGGTTGTTCCACCTGCATATCACAGGTAGTTAATGAGTCTTCCTCCAATCCTGATGCCACGTTTTTTTCATAAAGTCCTGCTTTTCAGATTATTCACTCAGCATAGAGATTGAATAAGTATGGAGAAAGGACACAACACTGACCTGATGTTAAGCAATGCAGTATCACCTTATCCTGTTTAAATGACTGCCTCTTAGGTCTATGTACAGGTTCTGTGTGAGCACAATTAAATATTCTGCAATTCCCATTCTTCAAAATATTATCTGTAATTTGTTCTGATCCACATAGCTATGGGACAGTTCCACTCTGTTCTATAGGGTCACTATGACGTGGAATCAACTTGATGGCAATGGATTTAGTTTTGGTTGAATGTCTTATAATCAGTAGATCAGGCAGTGGGGGGAAAGCAAAATTCTAGCAAGATGTCTAGTTATAGTCTGGAGACAGACTCTTCCCCCAGGAAACCTCTGGTTTTGCTCTTAAGGTCTTCATCTGATTGGATGAGGCCCACCTACATTATGGAGGGTAATCTGCTTTACTCAAAGCTAAATAATTTAAATGCTAGGAGCTTCCGTAGTGATTGTTGTTGTTGTTATGTGCCATTGAGTTGGACCCGACTCATAGCGACTCCTCTTTGGATTTCCGAGGCAATATCACTACAGAAGTAGATTGCCCCATCTTCCTTCTGAGGAGTGGCTGGTGGGTTTGAATCGCCAGCCTTCTGGTTAGCAGTCAAGTGCCTTAGGCACTACACTACCAGAGCTACTACCTCAGAAACCCAAGGAGGGGTCAATATGAGTAGGGGGCCGACTGAATGGCACATAACAACAACAACAACAACAATCACATATAAATACCTCATAGCAACACCTAGACTAATGTTTGACCAACTGAGCACCATAGTCTAGCCAAATTGACACATAAAGTTAACCATCCCATAGGTCTATCTGGATTATCTACTTCTCCTTATGAGTTGTGGTAGATTATATCTTTCATTGGAATTGGTCCATTTCATCTAAGTTATCAAAAACAATGGGCATAGAACCATTCATAATATTTGTTTATTATCCTTTTAATGTCTATGGACATTCGCCTCGGAAACCCAAGGAGGGTCGCTATGAGTCAGAGCTGACTCGACAGCAGTGAGTTTTTTTTTAATATCATGGGACCAGTAGTGGTGACCCCTCTTTCATTTCTAATATTAATAATTTGTGTCTTCTCTCTTTATTTTGGTTAGCCTGGCTAGATCAATTATATTGATCTTTTCAAAGAACAAGCTTTTGATTTTGTTGATTTTCTCTATTGATTTTCTGTTTCCAATTTCATTGATTTCTGCTCTAAATTTTATTATTTCTCTTCTTCTGCTTACTTTGGATTCAATTTATTCTTTTTCTATTTTTTTAAGGAGGAAGCTTATATTATTAATTTTAGACTTCTTTTCTAATATGTACAGTCAATGCTATGAATTTCCCTCTAAGCACTGCTTTCACTGCAGTCCATACATTTGATAAATTGTATTTTCATTTTAAATAAGTTAAAATATTTTTTTAACTTCTCTTGAGACTTTTTCTTTTATCCATGTGTTAATCAGAAGTGTGTTGTTTAATCTCTAACTATTATGGGTTTTTCTAGCATTCTGTTATTGATTTCTAGTTTAATTCCATTATGGCCTGAAGCATATTTTGTATGATTTCTATTTTTAAAAATGTGTTAAGGTGTGGCTTTTGGCTCAGAATATGGTCTATGTTGGTGAATCTTACTTGAGAAGGATGTGTATTCTGCTGTTGTTGGATGAAGAATTCTATAAATGTCAGTTAGGTCCAGTTGATGATGGTGCTTTTCAGTTTTAACTATATCTGATATAGATTGAATTGTGTCTTCTAAAAATATATGTTGTAAACCCTAACCCTTTTACCTGTAGATGTAATCCCATTTAGGAATAGGAATTTCTTTGTTATGTTAATGAGGCCATCTCAGTGTAGGGTGTGCCTTAAACCAATCACTTTTGAAATATATAAAGAGCAGAGAGATGCAAGCACACATGGGGGCAGATGGCATGTCCATGAACCAAAAACAGAAGCTGAAAGAAGACAAGGACTTTCCCCCCAGAGCTGACAGAAAGACAGTCTTCCCCCAGAGCTGTTGCCCTGAATTCATACTTCTAGCCTCCTGAACTGTGAGAAAATAAATTTCTGTTCATTGAAGTCAATGATTTGTGCTATTTCTGTTAACAGCAGCACTAAGAAACTAAGACAATATCATTACTGATTTTCTGCCTGCTACATCTGTCAATAAGGAATGGTAGTGGCATAGTGGATAAGGCATTAGGCTGCTAATCAGAAGAAGGTCAGTGGTTCAAACCCACCAGCTGCTCTACAGAAGGAAGATGGGACAATCTATTTCCATAAAGATTCACAGCCTCAGAAACTCAATGGTGGTTGCTATGAGTTGGATTCAACTCAATAGCAGTAAGTTTGGTTTAGCTTTTTAATATCTGTCAATTACTGATAGAGCAGCGTTGAAGTCTCCAACTATGGTAGTGGATTCTCCTTGAAGTTCTATCAGTTTTTGCCTCACAGAGTTAGAGGCATACACACTAAGGGTTATTTTGGGAGCTCTGGTGGCATAGTGCCTAAGACATTTAACTGCTAAACAGA